GCTCATAATAGCCCCTGGGGTCACTCTCGCTGCGATGCACGAGGTCACCTGATAGTTTCTTCTTTCTTTCGGTGTGTGCCTACTGAATCGAAAAGAGCTACAACTTATACTACAACATAGCTAACAATACCTACTCATCAATAGACCTCAGCATAACATCTCTATCACCCTTGCCTATACTTAAATGGGAAGTCATTAATAATCCATATGGAAGTGACCATTTTCCTGTAGTTCTCAGCACATAAATAGCAAATGTATGTCGTCCACAAGTTCCCAAATGGCTCACCGACAAAGCCGATTGGGAAGAGTTCCAAAAAGTGACTCTTTTAAGTTGGACCTACATACGGGTGTTAAGCATAGAGGCGGCTGTGGGCTACTTTACAGCTTTTTTGATTTATGCAGCAACCAAGTCTATTCCAAAAATACGTGGATCGTCAGACAAATGACGTGTCTCATGGTGGTGGAATAATTAGTGCCGCAATGCGTGTAAAAAACAAAGTAAGGCATGAAAGCCGCTTTGAGACTCTCCAATATCCAAGAATCTTATAAACTTTAAGAACAATAGGTTGCAAGAAAGGAAGATGTGCCGACTAGTGAGAAGAGAAAGTTGGCATAAATTTTTATCGGGCATTACATTATATACACAACAGGATGAGAAGGGGAGAAGGAAAACAAGCATATTCACTTCCTCTGGTGGACACACAAGGCGACAGCTTGGAGGACTAGGCAAACCACTTAGTAGCACACTTCGAGCAATTTTCCAGCTCATCACACTACTCTCTAGGTATAAGACAAGAGTGGAGAAACAGAAAGAAGCTAGATACCAAATGTACAAGCTATGAGGCGTACAACCAATCTTTTTCCTTAGCAGAGCTACAGGCATCTCTAAACTGCTGCAGCACTTCCACTCCGGGATCTGAGCGTGGGGTCTGTGAAATGTTGAAGAAGCTACCTCTCAAAACGCAAAAATAAAGCCTTATTTTTCTTCTGCACTGCCATCTGGTTTTCCGACAACATCCCTTTCAGTTGGAAAGAGGCCATTGTCATTCCAATTTTAAAACAAGGCAGGGATCCATCCTCTGTTACAGATTACAGGTCTATCGCACTGACAAGCTGCCTATGCAGACTTTTCGAAAAGGTGATACATCGCCGACTCATACACTTCCTTGAAACTAACAGCCTACTTGATCCGTACCAGTGCAGATTTCGAAAAAGGTAGGTCTGCCATTGACCACGTGGTGGATATTGAGGCACAGATCCGAGATGATTTCATCCAATTTCCTGTCGGTGTTCCTTGGTATGGAAAAAGCATACAACACCACTTGGCGTTTGGGAATTTCGTGAGACCTCTCACACTTGAGTCGCAGAGGTAACATGCTGAACAAAATCCAAAGTTATTGTCTGATCGCACTTTCCGTGTCCGAGTGGGGAATGTCTTGTCTCAAACTTTCGTCCAGCAGACTGGATTGCCGCAAGGTGGTGTGCTAAGTTGGACACTTTTTATTATAAAAATGAATACCTAGCATTCCTGTATTCCACACAATATGTTCTATTGTACATATGTCGGCGATGTGCAGATAGATTTCGAATCATGCAATCTTGCAATGTGCAAGCGCTAGGTCTAACTTCGCTTGAATAAGATAACCAACTGGGGAAGTGAGAATAGGTTCACCCTTAATTTACAAAAAAGCACATGCATTTTATTCACAAGAAACAGAGGTCTCCATCCCAATTTCGAAATTGACCGGCACGGCCAGATACTACCCTTTAATTCTGAACAGAAATTTTTAGGTATTATTTTGGACAAGAAACTCACATTAGTACCTCACATTAAAAATCTCAAAATTAATTGCCTCAAAGCAATTAATTTACTCAAGGTTTTATTGCAGACATCATGGGACAGTGATAGACAATGCAGACATCATGGGACAGTGATAGACAATGCCTTATGAGTTGTTATAAAAGCCTTATACGGATGCACCTAGATTATGGGGCGATAATTTATCAGTCTGCAGCACCAAGTGCACTGCAAATGCTCGACCCTGTCCAACATTTGGGCATCCATCTCGTGCTTTTCGCACCTGCCCCGTAGAAAGCCTCTACGTCAAGTCGAATGAGTGGTCGCTTCATCTGCAGAGAACTTGCATATCCTTTGTATTCTCAAGGTGAATGCAGACAAGAAACACCCCTCATACTCCACTATCAATGATTTGTCGAGTGTCGCTCTGTTTGAAAACCGGCCTTCGTTGAGTCAGCCCTACTCAGTTCGCCTGAAGGGTCCAGCTGAAAAAATTGGTGTGCCAATAGCTGCCACCGTGGCAGTGGCAAACTATAGATTGTGATGTGTCATTTTTAGAGGTTATGAAACACGCGTCCTGACTGCTTTACAGATGCCTCGACGTCTAACTCTTCTGTGTCCTATGCTGCTGTCAACCCATCATTTTCGGATACTGACCCTCTACACCGAGATACGTACAAGCATCTTCACAATGAAAACTTATGTGATACTTGTGACCGCTATACACGTCAAAGAATTACAACTACAAAAAGCAGTAATTTACACGGACTCCCTCAGTGTGCTAAAAGCTCCTCAAACTCTGAAAAAACACAAACACTCCATCCTTGTTTCGCTTTATTCACTATTATGACACTGTACACACTCAAACAACATGTTGTAGTGGGCTGGTTGCCAGGGCACTGCGAGATCCAAGACAAGTTGGCAAACCAGCTTGCTGCATTCATTCATGAAAGCACTGCCAGTGCACCCATATCTATCTTGGCGCTTGACCTTAAACCTCTCTCAAATGAAAGCTGAGAGATTAAGGGCAGAGCACGTGGGATAGACACACAAAACAACTACACATTATTATTAAGCCACACCTTGGTAATTGGCTGCCAGTATCAAAATCATGTCACATAAAGGTAACACTTAGAATGCTCAGGATGGGACAGACATACACAACACGCTCATACCATTTGTCTCGTGGCAATCCACCATTGCATGAGAGATGTGGTGAAGCACTGTTACTTCACATTTTAATCTAGTGTAAACAGTTAGACATGCTAATAAGACAACACTTTTTATTACCCTACCGACAACAGTTGCCACTTCACCTGGCAATGTTTGTCCGTAGGGAACCACTTTTTACGCGTCGATCATTGTTAGCATTCTTAAGAGACGTAGGTAATTATTATGTCATATACCCAGGCATTTCGTAGCATGACCGCTAAAGAGAGGTCGCTGCTGCGGGGGTCGCCTCTTCACCACAGTTTTATTGTTACAACTTTTCACCATTTCTTCTTCCTGCACACAGCTCACGTCACTGCCATGATCGTAATACTTCTATGTTATAACCCGCGTCAGCGCGAGGAATTTTAAGGCCCTTATACAGCTACCTACCACTAACATTGTTCACATCACTTCACCAATGACCTGGCACTCTTTGGCCGTCAAATGGCGCTTGCGCCATAAAACACTACACATAATCATCATCATCTCTTTGTAAGCCTCCAGGTTTCTGCTCTGTAGTTTAGTACTGGTAAGATGCTGCTGTTATATACATTTCTTAAGAGGGTTAGTGATACATTACCATTCATTATTTGAGAATTCTCTCTGAATGCACTCCACCCCATCCTTATTCTTTCTAGTTATTTTGCTCTCATGGTTCGGCTCCCCGGTTACTACCGGTCCTACATAGACATATTTCTTTGCCAACTTTCAATGTCTCGCCACCTATCGCCAAGTGCTGTTGTCTGCCAACTGTTGCACATTACTGTAGTTGTATGCATAATGGTTATCAGACCTACTCTTCTGCTTTTCATCTGCAATTTAGTAAAAATAAGCTGTAATTTTCCCCTGAGTTACTCATCAGTGCAATGTCATCGGTGAATCAGAGGTTACTAAGATACTTTCCATTAACTGTCAGCCTTAAATCTTCCCAATCTAGGGCCTCCAAAACCTCCTGTAAAGCCATTGTGAACAGTATTGGAGAGATGGTGTCTCCCTGCCTTACACCCTTCTTCATTGGGATTCTGTCGCTTTCTTTATAGAGAACTATGGTGACTCTGGACCTGCATAGATTTTTTCCACTATGCTTATATAGGCTTCATCGAATCCCTGATTTTGCAGTGCCTGCATGACAGCTGATATCTCGTTATCTGTGAAGTCTATGTATAGGGGTTGGTTGTATTCCTTGCATTTCTCTTATCACCCGATTGATAGTATGAATATGGTCTATTGTGGAGTAGCCTGTAGGAAATCCTGATTGGTCCTTTGGTTGATTGAACTCTAATGTTGCCTTAATTCTATTAGCTATTATTTTTGCAAATAGGTTGTAGACAATGGACAGTAAGCTGGCTTGCCTGTAATTTTTCAAGTCTTTGACGGCCTCTTTCATATGAATTAAGATTATGTTGGCATTCGTCCAAGATTCTGGTACCCTCCCCGTCACAAGACACTTTGTGTACGGAGTGGCCAGTTTTTCTAACACAATCTCTCAATCTTCTTTCAACAGATCTTATTTTACCAGTGGCTTTGCCTCTTTGCATTCTCTCAAGGGCTTCCTTTACTTGTCCTGTTGTTGTTGGTAGCATGTCTGATTCTTCTGGGCCACTCCTGCTTCTTCAGAAGACGCAGTAATAAAAGTAGTACCAGTGTACATATTACACTTTTAGCAAAACAATCAATCGCTTGCTGCAGTGATCTAGTAGTTCCGGTTCTTGCCTGCAAAAACAAACGCCGCACCATCCAATTCCAGCCACAGTAGCTGCCTTTCATATGAGGTGAAACGCTAAAGGCCCATGTGCTTAGGTTTATGTGCAAATTTTTGGAGCCCTGCACTGAGACTTCCCTAATAATCATATCGTGTTTTTGGGATATGGAACCCCAACACTTATTATTAACATAATAGGTATTATAATTTCTTTGTTTATTGATTAAGGCTTAATTTTGGCCGAGCCGTCACTGCCTCACAGATTTGCCATACTTTTCTCTCTCATAGTGTTCATGGTGAAGGGAGCACATGTCCACATCCTCGAGTTCTGCCAAACTTGGTGGCTACGGTGCTGGCTGGTGTATTTGCCTTATTTGAGGCTCGCCGAAAGTAAGTTTTCTATTAAATTTTTGTCGTGCTATCATGTGTGTAATGAATGATGTTGTTCCATGCAGAGTGTCCAGTTAATAGACTGTTTCGTTTGTGTGAATAACATATGTAAGCAATCAGTCGCTTCGGTTTTGAACTCAATGACAATCAATAGGTACTGTATAAAAATGCAACCTTACCCTCAGTGTAGCATTTTGTATAGACAAGCAGGGCTTGGAGATACTTTTAGGCTTGGAGATAGTATCTCATAGGTACTTTTGAGTATCTTTATTTCTGTATCGAGGTACATTTGAAATGTGTATTTGTATCTCAGTATCGATTGTATCACGATACTGTGCAGGACACGAGCATCTCTTTGATGTTTGGCAAAAATTATCTGGCTTGTGTGGAAAGACAAAAGGAATATCTTTTTCTGCACTTATATTTGTAAAGGTGCGCCACCAGTCGGTGACATAACATCGGCGGCAAAGGGTTACTTGCACACACAGAATGGCATGTGTATCGTCGTAACATTTATTCATGCAAAACCAACGCGACATCTGCAGACAGAAGCAGGTCAGTGCAGCGGAGAATGAAGAGGCACTCGATGCTCCCAAATTACGCTGAAGCCGTTTTTTCGTTTTTGCCATCATATGGATGATTGTTTTACAAATTTATACTTATTTCCTCTTTATTTTGCCCATCACTGTAATCTATTTTAATATGGAACATGATGCCACGTAATAAAAACAGCCTGGTATTATCACATTTGTCAAAACAAGTTCTACAGCACCCTTCCACACCCTTCTACTTGCTTGCTATCCTCATCCGGACTGCCATGTTTGTTTACTTTGCCCTCCACCTATAGATCACGAACAGTGCGAATAATGACACCACTTGTTTGGCGCCATTGGGCTACGTCACACACAGACTACTCGAAGCGCGACTCGACTCGAAATGACGAATGGCTCGCCTCATGGCTGACCTCACGTGTGTACTTAAGCCAAGTGTTGGCTGGCCTATCGGTGATGCTACTACTGCGCCAATCACGCCAAATTGCACACAAGTGCCCTGGCTACTACATCCTGTTACATTTCTTCAAAATTTGGCGACTCTACACCCAACCTGCGCTAAGGATGTATGCCAACTTTCAGAAGCGAAACTGGGGAGTTTTTGTATAGCATGAAGCTTTGCGGTTGCTGCCATTGCACATGCGTCATAACGTTTATGACCGTTAGCATTTGCGGTCTGCCCGCAAAAAATCTGAAATAGCGTTTGGCCTTTTTGTGGTGACTCAAGCGTGCGTCAGCGGTTGCGGGGACAAACTTTATTCAAAAACTCATAAGGTGCCCATATGCAAATGCTAAATCGTCCAAAAAAGGGGGGGGTCGAAAAATGCGAATTGATACCTTTTTATTCTGCTCAATTTAGCCAAGCTTGGTTAACCTCCCTGTCTTTCCTCTCTATTTCTTTCTCTCTCCCAGCATACTCCGCATTTTGGCGCACGCCCGGGCTCTCATGAATTCCGAATTAACTACATGCAAATGCCAATTGCCAAAATGCATCTCGTGATGAGCGCTGGTGATACCCACAAAGCGCGGCCGACTCGTGTGGCTTTCCCTGATGCATGCGTGGACGTAAACGATGCGCTATTTATACGAAAATTTCCACCGACACGGAGAATTTGCTGTTGTGTGAAGCCGATCGTTTTTAGTTGTGCGCAGCACAGTGCGAACTAATCTGATGCCGTCACTGCCAGGGCATTGCTGTCTGTCATGACAATGTTTATGATTCTCACTTCGCACCTGACCGCACATGGCGATGGCCAGCTCCTTTCGTTTGTAAAGGCATTGTGTCTCTGCGGCATACTCAGCAGTCTTGCCCAAAAAGGGAGCATAAGGAAAGAACGGTGGCACGGCGCATTTGGCCTGTACGCTCACAACGGCGCTAGGCCACATGCACGACCGAGCACCTAGCTGAAAATGCTTATCATGAAGGGTTGTCAGAGATTAGTCACACTTGGAGTGTAAGCCGCCTGTTGCTATCACACCTCCGTGCATTTCCGGTGCTTATCTTTTAACCCTTTGCGGTCCAAAACTTTTACCCACTTTCCGCCTCTACTGGTCCAAAGCTATTTTGACAGTTTCTGGCGCCGCGAAGAAAAACACAAAGTGAGGAAGAAAAACTTACAGGATATTTAATTTCACTCCTGAAATCTGCAGGCAACTTTTTTAGCGATATTTAGGCAGTTTGTGATACCGCTCAAGGCAGCCTCCTGGGTGCAGGCCAGGATTGTTACCGCAGGTATTGCAGAAAAACAGACATGTCTCCATGCCATCGTCGTCATCTTCGTCACTCACTTCTGTCAAATAACGGTCATCCTTGTCTGGTGGAGGCACGTAATTCTCTTCCTTACTAAAGTCATCCTCGTTTTTGCGGCAAGCACCAGCGTCAAACGCACGCGGTGAAAACGTGACCATGCTTCTCAGCGGACCGCTTGCGGGTGGGTACGCTCTAGGCTGCATGATGAACATTGTGCTGCACCCTAGAGTGTAAAAAGAGTTAACCTCAAAAAACAAAGCTCACTTATTCCTCAAGAAATGGTGCTTCATGTATTTATAAACTGCACACGACTTGCAGTGAGAAAATCGTGAAATTTAAACCATGAACACCTTGTAAGGCGCTGCCCTGAAACGGAACGCTAAGGGTTAAGGTATCACTGCATCATCATCAGCCTGACTACGCCCACTGCACGGCAAAGGCATCACCGCACAGCGTCGTGACATTGGCCCCTTTGGATTTTTGGTCTGCTTCACCCCACACCACTCAAGCATTGCGGTAAAGCTGATTTTCAGACATTGGCTACGAGAGCACACACGTCAACCTTTGAAAGCGCTGATTCAAGCATGCGAGATAGATGTAGCTAAATTAAAGCTGTAATTAATGCTCTTTTGAACATGTGGGCAGGAAGTTTTAATGTAAACTCTTTGGTGTCCGAAATTCATGACGTTACTACGCATTGGCTTGTGATGGGGCCTAATAGTGATGGTAGCAAGGCTTTTTATCGCATTATTCAGTAATTTACTCTGTTTCTGAAATGCTTCGGTTGCTTGAATTGCCTACGCTGGCTCAACGCCGGAAAGTCGGTCGACTTAAATTTCTTTTTTTGTTATCAAAAGGGCACCTCAATATTGAAACTAAACCTTATTTTGTTCCCAGGCCCTCCAGCAATGTCAGATCATGCAATCAATTTGTGTTTTCAGTTCCTAAATGCAATCTTGCTGTGTACGCGTATTCCTTTTTTCTATGAACGATAAAAGAGTGGAATCAGTTGGCAGTACCGGTACTGAATTCGAAGAGCATAGAAAGCTTTGAAAAGTGCATTAAAAATATGTCGTGAACATTGAGTGTTGTTATAGTATTGTACATATATTGCCATGTTGTTCGAAACTACATCATGTAGTTACTTCATATTGTATACTATACCACCATCACAATATATGTATATACGTTTTTATTAACCGCATTTTAAGAAAAATATTTTTCTTTTGTGTATTTTTTAAAGTTCTGTCTTCATTACAATATGTTGTACTTGTTTTTGTTTTATGTTAACATTTATTGTGCCCACCTTGTTACGGCCATAACGGCCAACAGTATTTGGAAATAAATAAAATAAATAACCGGATCTGAATTTTCATGCATATCTGAAATATTGGACAGCCGAAAAACTGTATTTGTGGATATTTAAATGGTCGGCATGCGTGCTGCTGGGTGAACACCGATACAACTACAAGACATTACCAAGACGTTTGCTGCAGTGACCAAAGACAACCCAGCCAACTTTGGAATTCACAAATGTAGCGACTATTTTTGTGCATGGGATGATGCTTCAGGGCATTTTTTTAGAGCATCCAAAAATGTGCAGACTCTGAAACGTTATATAGATCAAACACCTTTCTTAACAGAGGTCCAATCACGGAGGTTTGTATGCTATTTAGTGTACAAGTATGGACCTACTTATCAGTGATAATCACGTCATCTTTAGTCGTTTTATAATGAAGTAATCTGGCTCTATGTTTCACCATTGCCTTTGTCCACTAAATATCATCGGGTTAGCCACGGGTGTTATTGATAATTCTATGTGCTTCTATAGCATTATTATGCTTAGTGTGCAGCACATTGTGCTTCTACCGGTCCTCTGTCATGCCTGTGGTATATGTCTTAAATTTGCTTTTTTGTAGTACCTGCTTTGAGAGCTAGTTTTACAGCTCCAAAACTCATTTTTGCCTGTTCCAAAAGCTGCTCCAAAGCAGCCTAAGCCAGTAGCATCGCTGGACTACTAACGGCTATAAAACCTTCTACGTGGCACTAGTTGTGCACCACTTTTCTTAATGCAAAATGGCGCATTTTTTAAAATTCTCGAATCTAAGCCGACCCTAAAGTTTGATACCAGCGACCTCTCACTCTTCAGCATGCAACACAAACCACTAGACCACAATGTGCACTTTGCTTGCTTAGCTTGTTAATGGCAAGACATTTGTATACACCATGTGCCGCTGGCGATCCTTAGAGCTCAGCAACTTCAGTGCGTTTTCGTCATCAATAGTGAGATGGCGCGAGTGTCGCACGCTAGGCACACGCACTCTAAATATCAAAGTCTTGCGCCACCCCATGCGTTGCGATGCATGCGCCTCCACATAGTGCAGTCAAAGTCTAGCGGTGTCGCTTACTAGCGAGTGCACTTATCTCGAGATATTGGCGCTTTGTACCTCTTGTATATTCATCGCAAATTTGCTTTGAAGTTACAGTGGTTGAAGAGAGTGAGAGCACGAAGGTAACTTCGCTCACTTTCTTGACCGTGTTTACGAAAGGAAAGCACTGCTTACACACGAAGAAGTAAGAATTGTGACAGTTGTTTGCGCTTGTTCAGGTGTATACTTGTGTGTTGGTTTCGTGCATCTTTCTGTTCGAGCAGTGCGCTTCAAGTGTCTAGCTGTAACAGCTGTTCGTCTGTGCTTGTCCTTTGTGGTTTGCTCATTTCGTGCATACTTTTTGCTTGAGGTGCGCACTGCAAGTTTTGAGCTGCTTGCCATTTTTTGCACGACATTGCAAATTGCAATTTGTTGCTGTAGCATTCATTCCTTCGCCCTTGCGGCGAAACAACGCACAACCAACACTCAATTACCTCGGTGAAGACTCGTTTTACTTTCGTGTTATACCGATTCCCAAAGAGAGGGATCAGTGATGTTTTTTCTGCATGCGTGAGTCACCCCTCACCCCGTAATTCGGCCACCACTGCCCAGCCGCAACCTATCTGCGCTGCGCACTGTAAATGATATTTTCCCACAAAGGAAAATTCCGTCATGCAAAAACTTGTTTGATATTTTACCAAAAAGAAACAGTAGATGCCTCTTCTTCACACTGCACAATATTTGTCGGTATGCCTATCTCAAAGCTAAACTAAATGCCCATGTAGGCTCATGTAGGCTGGATCTGGCACTGGTGCAACTGCTGCTCACATTTAAGTCATCGTTGTGTGTCTTGATTGCGAAACCGGTGTAATGCAGTGGTGCACCAGCACACGTAGAAACTGAGCGATACGGTCGGCCACAAATAACAAGCAAGTGCTCTCACACTTCTTAAACTTCATTAAAACAGTCACAGTTGTCATCGTTTGGCTCCAAATCTACCCAACTGATTCCCTCCCACTTGTTGAAAACTGCACTTGCAAGTGTGCTCAGTGCAGCCGCTGTTCGCAAATCACACTTTGGCGAACATTCAGCAGTGCTGCCACAGCAATATCTAGCTGTTCACGGACTACCTAACTGCGCCGTGCAGTGGATTTGTTAAATCCAGAGTGCTATGAAAAACTGTAAATTTTTAATAAGAAATTAACCAGATGTAGTCACATAGGTCCTAGAGCTTGCTGAACCACAAAATGTCCATCCCGCGCCCAGTCTTGCAGACGACCCTTTCAATTACCGCTCATCAAAGGGGTTAGATTGTAGACTGTAGATTGTGAGAGGGGGGAGAGTCTGCCGTGCGCTCCTACCCCCCCCCTCCTTCCTAAAAAAAGTAAGTGTTAGTAGCAAGAAAACTAATACCAACCATTTGCACCATGACTCATATTAAGGGGAAAAATTCGTTATCACGGCATGCCACTAAAGCCCAACGTTTTGACAAGCCGACTTGTCTTCTTGAAGAAGAGCATCCCTCCCTTTTATGCTTGGATTGATCACTTACCCCGCCCTTTCGTACCACTTTATTTTATAACCACTATTATTTTTTATATGACTTTTTCTGAATATTTGGAAAACCGGAAGTGCTCCACTCAAAGTGCTTGAAAGTGAAAGGAGAGTGTCACTCGGTGCTCACGTCTTTTAGCAATTATTGAGTACAGTAAAACTTCGTCTACACTGAGTTGGGGAGTTTATTGAATGCACTATCTACGCAGGCATTTTTAAACAGTATGTTTTCATTTGTAACGAGTTTTCATCATCTTCTTTCTTTAATTGTTAGATTTTTGTTCAGGTTTTTTTTTTTTTTGACCTTATGAAACTTGTAATTTGCAGGAACCAAATGTGCCATGCTTGTTTTGTCACTAATGTTTCACTTCAACCCACATTTTATAATTTGCAGTGAAGCCAAAGTGTGACACTCTTTCATGTTTAGAACATGATTAATGGCTGCTGTCTAGATACTGGCCTTGTCTCCTTGTTTACCATTGCAGCACCATTTCCGTTATGGTCACTAATAACAATATTCACCAAAAAAACATGTTCTGCTCCAAGTGATCCTGAATTCCGTTTTGTCTGCTTCATACTAGCTCCAAAACACAGTTCATTGTGCTCCAAATATGCTCCAAAATTGACTTTTTCCCGCTCCAAAAGTGACTTTTGCCTGCTCGAAAAATTGATCCAAATCCTAAATTGGCTGGACCACCACTGTACAGTTTGTAAATAAGGGGTCACCCCTGAATGGCATTCCTAATTTTCTTTCTTGTGACTCAGAATTTCGAGCACTTGAATGAATGGTCACAACAAGAAAGCTTTTGATTAGTGTCTATCTGTAACTGACTGGAGGCATGATTTTTCATTGTCAGTTGTGCAACTAAGGAAAGTGGACAATGCTTTGACTTTTTATGTGACATTGTTTCAGCCCTGAAGATCATAATGATGTATCGCATTCTACAAGTGACTGGGAAGCCAAGCATGATTGCTTCGTGAAGGTGTTAGATGTGATGTAAGTTTTCTTAATTTTTGGTTTCTCAAGCATTATGTGTATTTAAACCACATGTGTCAACCACATGTGCCTTTGAAAAAGATAAGTCCTCCTATCGAAACGTCGGCCAGCCAGTCTGAGACACACTATTGTTCATCTTATTATCCCACCGTGTTGTTTCCATCTGTTGGCTCCCATCAATATTTTGAATGTGTCAAATGTAGTAACATGTCTTATACACGGTGCTGGTTGGGGCAAAGTAGGAAGACGTAAATATAGAAAAGTGTAGCACACAAATTTAGTGGTAAAGTGTCTGATAGAAGAATTCTTCTTGTTTTCCATTATATTGCATTATCTTAGACAGCCATCAATTATTTAAGCATGCTGTAAGGCCTTGAAGCAGCCCTGAAACACCTTTCTAAGTATATACTCAATGACTTTGTCGGATTTTACTGCATCACGAATCTCCTGCAAGAAGTCTTTTTTAAATTTGGCAAGTAGTAATGAAGCTACAGGTAGTTTTTGTAGGCCCAATAGCTTTTTCTTAAAACCTGACAAGTATGGGGATAACAAGGTACAAGAAGTTTGCCATTAGCCATTAGTCATGGCACTTTTTATATTATTGTTGTTTGTTTGTTTTTTTCCTGAACCTCTTGGCCTCCATCTTTGGTTTACACAAGCTTGGGATCTCAACTGGAAAGCAGAGCTTTAACACGTGCTGAGCCAGAGAGCAGAGCCTAACAACTGTTTTCTTTACTGCTTTCTATGTGAGGCCTCATGCACATAAGGCATGATTACAGTGTTAAAATGAGGCCCCTTGTATTTAATTATGTATGTGTGTTCTAGTAACATACAAAGCAATCCAGTAGAGTACACTTGGGAATCCCTATCTAATGTTTTTGTGTGTGAGTGTTTTGAGAACAATTAATGCCTGTGCATTGATGTTGATTGTGTTGCCCTGCCTAGTTGTTTTGCCTCAATGACTTTTATTTTAATGTAGTTTACAGGTTTTGTCTCTTCATTTTATTGCATATTTAGTGCGAACTATGAAGATTGGCGTCTACCACTTGGTCAGCTTTTGCAGCCCCTGCCTTTTCCAGATGAGTGAGTGTTTGTTTACCTTATTTTACAAAGCTCACTCTACATTTAAGTTTTTTTTTTCTTCTGTTTTCATTTTTTTACCTTTACAGTAATTCAGACCTTGAAAATGGTTTACAATAAACAAAAATAGTAACTTGCTGCTTTTCCTTTTCCCTTTAACAGCGCTTTTGTCTGCCAGCGGTTCACTCTGTGAGTACCAAACCTTTTTTTTTTTTTGCCTCTTATAGCTTTGCAACATGGGCTGTGGGGATAAAATACCACTTTACAATTTCAATTGTGTTTGCTTGTGTACTAACTGTAATTTTCTTGCCGTAGTTCATTCCAATTACTGCAAGTCTATGTGCCCAAAAGGAACCCTATTTTTTATTGTTCAATTGAATCTTTGTTGTTGAATGTGTCCAAACCCATATTGTTTTTTTTTTTTTTTGTGTGAATCATGAAAGGTTCTGAAAAAATACATGGGCTTTGCAGCACTAATAACTTAAATTTAAATGTTTATAAGTACAGCCCTGTCAGCAATGAAATTTGAGGATTTCTTTTGTATATGAATGTGCTAATACAAAGATCTTGAAGTCAAGATGCCAAACTACCAAAATACTGGATTGGTTCAGGATCTTTCCACTTAGATTTCACTCTGTTTGGAGATTTCACTCTGTTTGGTTCTGTTTCCAAAAAATAAAAGTGTGTAACATTTTTAGAATCGGTGTGGCACAGCAAACCTTGTAACAAGTACAATGCATGGACAAGTTTTGTCAGACAAAAGAAGGAATCAGCTTCTCGATGCGTAAGAGGCAGGGATTAATGCTTTTAGATAATATAATTGATGCTTAGTGTTGTGTAGCTACAGCAAGTGTACCCACAAAGGCAGCCATCATAGCAGTGACATAAAAAGATTGTGCAGCCAGCTATACTTCCATTCAATGTACCCATCCTTATCCTTCCTCTTTTCCTTGTTTCATGTTGGTCTAATCTTTGGGGTAATCTGTGGCACGAAAGATTATAAAAACGAATTGAATTTTGAGAGAGAGGGAACTCTATCACTGATTGGGTGAGAGAGGAGAAAACATTTATTATGTAAAGCTTGGGAGTAAAGGCAAAAGGGTCCCTTATTCTAAGAACCCTTCGACCTGTACCACCCACCGGGCTCGAGCGACAAGGTGACAATGGTCGACCAGGTTTGGCTGGAGATCACAGCCTCCCACACTTCACTTAGTAGGTCTGGGTCCGCATCTGTTGCTGCTGCTTGTAGCCTTGGGACACTCACTTTGCACTGCAGTAGGAGATGTGCCAGGGTGTCTGCCACATTGCCGTGTGGGCAGATTTAGGTATGCAACATTGGTCTCACATGGTGCAAAAGGATTCCATTGGTGAACGCGTTGCTTTGATAGCACCTGTAGTCTAAATTTTATTTTTTTGATTTTGCTGCTTCTACTGCATAATCGCGCCAATTTTCATGTGTTGTAGATCATTGCTTTAGCCAAAGCAGCTTTTTGTATTACATTAGTGACAGTTTTTTTTCTTGCTATTTTCGGAAGACTTCCCCCCCCTTTTGTGTGTGTGCTGAATTATGATTTTTAAATTTGAATTTTTTTACACTCAATTTTGATCATTTTGTATTGTGCAAAAAACCTGAATGTTTAAAGAGTGCAGAAGGATGTTAGTTGACTGTTACTTTTGGAAGTTGTAAATGCTTAGAAAGGGTATAATAATGTAACTAGTTCCTGTGTGTCTATTAAATAAAAACTCGAAAGCTTCATAGTTTCTTTTCTTTTTTTAAAGAAAGCTGTGATCATAACACAGCACTTGCTGCACTCTTTAACGTGTAGAATCCAATGGTATTTAATTCAACAAAGTCTGCACAACCAGTTTAGTAAAAATGTTAACAGATTATGTTTTTATTAATGACAACATTAAAAATATAATGGCATAGTATATCTAAAAACAGAGTTCATATTTGATATCAGCTCATGAATCAATAGTATAAGCCTTATGTTTTTATTAGGATAGCCTAAATAATAAAACACTTCATGTGGGATAATTTCTAGATAGACTGCTAAAGTGCTTTATTGCTGCTTCATGCCGGTCATTTGTATAAATTATGAGTCAATTCAAAAGGAGCAAAATGTCATGTTAAAATCCAAACCATGTATGTAAAGGGAGCCCTTTGCATCTCATTAACCCGACCGCTGGGCACTGCTCATTTCACACACTGTGATCACTTTCCAGCTGGCAGCACTCAGGCTGCTAATATAGTTTTTTGCTGATGGGGGGCACACCTTAAAGGGATACTGAATGAAATTTTTGCCACCAAGATATTTAACAAAATTGGAAGATTGGGTCATCGATAAAGACAACCTTCATTTCAGGCTGAAACTACAGGAAAATAATGAAATTAATGGGTTTTTCACAAACTGCTTTATCTAGACCGCTCTGTGAACCTGAGGAGGCAACGTCACATACGCCTGAAACATGCAAGCAAACAATACTAGCCGTCATTCACGGCTCTCAGCCCGCTCAGCTCCCCCATCAGTTCCGGTAGCGAACAATGCTCCCAGCTGGGGTAAACCATCAGTGCTTTTGTGGAAAGGAGAGGTGGAGAAAAGGAAGAGAAGGACAGGAAAACGTGCACCCTCGGAGATTATGACGTCACGGCCCGCACTCTTATGCAGCTTCAGTGTCCTGACAGTCCATCAAAAATACAGCCAAGTGTTCAAAAATACGAGAAATTTTATAGGAACAGTTGCATCTACCAAGTAGAATTTCGAAGTTTCATCAGATTTTTCAATTTTTGTTCAGTATTTTTTTTAAGAGACACTAAAGAGAAAAATGACTTTTTGGATTAGTAAAGTACCATTTCACAATCCCGAAAGCACCACTATTATGGGACACGGCGCTTGGTAAGCGAGAAAACACATGAAAATAAAATACAGGTCGAAACGCCACCTCGAGATTCTTGCACCAAACACCATAACATCATAGAATTTGAAGGTGTCCACTGGGTCCTACGTAGCTTCTAATCGATAAAAATGAAGTACATTGTCATATGTGGGTTTCCCTAGACCTAGCATACGAACTTTCAGAAAATGTTTGACATCACTCACGGAGATTTCGGCACACAATTTAAATATGAAACTTCAACTTTGAGTTTCTTTACTATTAATGTACTTATGGTTGTGAAACATATGGCATTAGAGTTCTCAAACTGCAGTTTGTCAATCTAAACCAAGTCATTATTTCTCATTAGTGTCCCTTTAATGTGCAGCATGCGGCTGTGTGCTGCATTTGCGTAGATTTCTGGAGCATTGTCTTTTAGTCATACTGGTATTCACTTGTTAGATGTCAAATTTTATGCTAGTTTATTTGGATAATTATTATTTTACTATTACTCCCGTGAAGGTATTAACTCACTAAACTAAATCATCTCTTTGTTTGTCATGATGCAGATTCTGTTTTAATTACTTTTAATTGTAGATGAATGAGTAACTATTTATACTCAAAATTTAGTGTGGGCTTCTTAGCAGCTCCCACTGTGAACAGAGACAGAGATTTGGTGCATTTAGCACAGTTTATCATTTTCTTGTAGAAGCTACGCCTCAAGCAAAGATAGGGCTACAGTTTAAATCCTAAAGTATCAAGACTTGCTCAGTAATTTAAGGTTTACTTTAGTTGTTGATGGAATGGCCAATGCTTGTCACGTGGATGCAGGGGCCTGGAGCCTATAGTCGAATGTCTTGGCACGGACTCACGATGTGAGGTGCACAGTGTGGTGCTGGGTGCACGTGATGGAAAAGATGGCTGGCTGCAGCTGTACAGCCCAGGTCGTCCAGCCTGCCAGGACGGCGGTGCCCTCTGGAGTCAGCTGCTGGGCACCTTAGTAGGATGCGGGTGTGGTCGACGGCGTGCCTTTTTGGGACCGCTGGCAAAGTGGCTTGATGCTCTGCGCGAGCGCGCCATGGCTGGTGACGCTGCCTGCCAGATGACACTATGTGCCATGTTAGAACTGGGTGCCCTCGAGTCACCAGAGGCACGACTTCAAGCTGGTGCCGCCCTCCAGAGCTCTCCCCACTATGGAGCACTGTGCATGCGCCAGGGCCAGGCACGCCAGCTCCAGCAAAAAGGTGGCCCCACAAAGCTTACGCTGCCTGCACGCTCCACGGCAAGTATACTATTTCACAACGTAAAGCCATCTTAAAATAACGTATGCAAAACTCTTGCAAAAAATTGTTAATGTAGCATCTGGTTACATATCTGGTTACATATCTTATGCTGCCTTTATGACACTTTAGGTTTGTGGGTTTCAAAAAACATCGGAATTGACTCCGTTGACAGCGTGCAAAAGTAATGCTAGCGTGAATTGGTCATGTTGTATGTCACTCTCATGTGCAACAACTTCTTTTTGGGACCACTTTCTCTTTTATTATTTGCATGTAGCAGTCAATGTTCTTTACGCTTTCTATGCTTCATTGTCTGTTTTCTTGAAAAGGCTGTACATCTATCTTGGCATATACCCATTTTTCTCCAGGAAGTATCTTTTAAAAATGCTTTACCTCAAGTTTGTACATAGCAACGTATCAGCCAAGAGAGTCCTAGCACATCCTCTCTCTAAAGGGTACAGACATGACCCATCGCATTTTGTTTAGCCTTTGCCTCTAGGCCATTGTGTTCCAGTCAGTAGTGTTCCTTGTAGACATATACTTTTGACTTATTTCATTAAATGATCACTTTTGTAACCTATCATTTATTTTTCCAGCACATTTCACTAGTCAATTCCATAATGTTTATTTTCATATACATTTTTCACACTTTACAGTGATTGTTATGTCTTTTTGCAGCCATGTTTAATCTGCCTTTCATTATTCATGTATCCATTTGCCAACTCATTACCTCTGACTTGGTGCCCTTTGATCTATAGATATATGGCCTTTATATCATAAGATTATATATCATCATCTGTTGGTGTAACTAACAAAGAAACAATATTTCAATCATCTTAAGGAGTGGGTAATTATTCTTTGTGAACTCCATTGCCATTTATTCTGACATTACCTATATAAGTTTGCTAGAAGATGAACTGAAGGCCATAGTTTTTAAATTTTACCTGAAACTTGAGCAGCTGAATGCCAGCGTGACTTGACAGATTTCAAGTGCCTTTGTATTTTTCCCGTGTTGGCTCAATGAATTTTCCTGAAACTTGCTATATTAAATATCTGGCTTCATTAGAACACGTTATAATTTATTTTTCCTCACTTTTTTTGTGCATCTATTTTGCTCTTTGCTTTTTTTCTCATCTTTTCCATTCCCCTTTTCCTTAGTGCAGGGTAGCAAACCGGATGCTCCCATTTCTGGTTAACCTACCTGCCTTTCTCTCATTTTATTCTCTCTCTCTCTATTTTTCTTTTTAAAAGTGTTACGTAGCCCTTAGTAGGTGCCATCAAAATCTATGTCACAACGGGTTGGGGCAAGGAGTTGAAGCTAGTGTCAGGCCCTGTATTTTGTTTTCAAACATTTTCTTGCCTACCAAGCATGTTCTAGTGGCAAGAGTGTTGCTTTTCTTTTTGGTATTGCAAAATGGTAAAATACTAATGCAAGCAATAGCGTCCCTTTACCAGAGATCCTGTTTTGGAGAAGGGGCAGGGTGACAGGGTGTCTGACCGTTGTGTGCGTGTTGGTGCACACACACACATGTGCACAACTGAAATCGTACGCTGACACACCTGGTCGCCTCTATACACAGAGCCACATGACGAGAAGATTGTACGCAGCTCCATGGCACAATCGATTGCTTGCTTTCGATGCTTTAATGTTTGGTCTAGCCTCTTTTTTACTTTTTTTTTCATGTGCTTCTATTCATTATGCTTCTGCAATGTCCTTCTAGTTTGATAAAGAAAGGTCTACTTTCATGCTGCAGTAGCCACTAAGTGATTCAGTCCATACACAGCATTTGAAGATATGGTTGCTTCTACTACGGCAACCTTTGTTTGTTTGTTTGTTTGTTTGCTCTCTCGAGATTTCTCTTCTATCATCCCTGTTTTTCCATGAATTTATTGCTCAAATTAACCTTTCACGTGCTTTGGTCAGAATGCATTCTCTGGTCGCTTGTGTTTTTGTTCTATTCAGTATAATTTAAATACAAGTGTGGAAGGATTGTTGTAATTGTTATTTATATACTAAATTTTTTTAAATCTGAACTTTAAAAACCACGTTTTGCATGTTGCACAATTGTAGTTCCTGCACTAGATTAATGTCAGAACTGCAGTATATTTGCCTGATGAATAAGGAGAATGTTTCAAACTAATATTTACAAAATGATAGTTTCAGTGCATGTTGTTTGGCTAATTGAGGCAAAATTGGCTAGTAGTTGCCTGTGTCATCAGATACACAAAATCACACATTACGCAAAGCAACACTGCCACTGACTAGTATAAGGTCGTTACAGTTGAACCCCTTTATAAGAAACATGCACCAAGAAGCAGTCTTGTTCCTTATACAATGCATCTCTTATAAGCAGGGTACCACATTCCAATTTTCTGAGCAACCCCAATTTCAATGTAAGCACACTTGTGTCTCTTATACCGAACTGTCTCTTACGTCAGTGTCTTTTATAAAGGGTTTCAATTGTATCCCAAAACTGTACTGACTATGAGTGAAGTAATACCAACTTGAACACCTCCGATTGTATCTCATCTATAGCATTGCTCTGCTGAACATGAGGTCATGAGTTCAAGTTATAAGCATGGTAGCCACATTCTAATGAAGGTTAATTGCAAAAGCCTTTGTGTACTGGGCTTTCATGGCACATTGATGAACACTGCATGGTCAAAATAATTCTTGAGCTCTTCGTTACGATATATAATATAACCCACTGTGCAGTTTCAAGATTGAAACCCCTGCCTCTTCATTCCTCCTCCAACATTAAAAAAAGGCAGAGACTGCTGCGCCGTGCAGCGCATGAGCCACCTCCACACAGAAACGGCTGCTGCGCTGCACGGAAGTGACGTCATGCACTTTTCTGGTTAGGCACTTTGTTTGAATAATCAGAGTGTCTAGCGTTACATCTAGACGTAACGATAGAAGCCAGTAAAGTTACAACCCGACGTAAAAATAAAAAAAAATGTTAAAGTTACGTCCAGCATGAAAACAATGCAAAATCGGCTTGTTAAACTCCCCAAACCAATTGGCAGCAGTGGTGTAGTTGGCTAGTGCGGCACGTAAAGGGCGGGTGTAATCGGTGGTTCAAACCCCATTGCAGTCTTCGTTTTTTGTTTTTTTTTTGTTCACGCAAGTATTGTTTTAACATTTGTGCCTCCTCATCGGCCTTCCGTCAGCCTGACTTGCTGCTGGTGGTCCTGTCTGCAGGCCCTTTGACATTGGATGTTTGATGACCCTCACCGAATTGGCTATTTATTATGATAAAGTGTTTTGAGAATTAATACTCTTAATTGGCGAGACGCAAAAGGACACAAAAAATTAAAATGCAGCTGGCTGCATCAGTTTCTCCGGCACCTACGTCAGGAACATTGATTTGCATAGTTTATAAAAGTTTTGATTACACAAAGGCCCACTGCAACGTAGCCATGCCGAATATACAACAGGAATCTTTCTTTATGTCGCTAAGCGTACCATCACCTGACAAGGTAACCGGCAGGTCTCTTAAACTTACTGACGGGCCATCGTAATGCTCTAGGGAATCAGCACTTGAAAAACGATGCCCAAGGGCAAGTGCCGACTGTGTTAGCCCATGTAACTACAAAACAGCTTGTCTACCTTGCTGAATAACACGCACGGCCTGTGACAGCATGGAAGCATTCACGTAGCAATGGATGAGAACGGCCGTACGTGTTCGCACTAAGCAAAACAGCCTGCAATGCAGTAGCGTTGACCTTCCGAGATCACAGGATTCGTAAGAACACTTTGCACACGCACTGGGGTTTCATGCATGTGCGTCCGGACAGTAACATGAACCGTGCAAAAGCATTTATTTAATCATTGACCTTGCCCTTGGCTACAAGCAAAACTCGGCAGCAAGGACACTTTCACCTTTGACAACACCACGCTTGGCATTGCAATCTATAAAATGCAGTACATCCTACAAGAATAATTCTCGCTTCACGCTGAGAAACTTTATGGCGCACACACTCGGATGAAGCTGCGGCTCGGTGGACGGCTGCGCTAGCTCTAACCTCTAGGATCAACTGGGCATCCAGCAATCCCATGAGGCAGTGACGACACAGAGTCTCCGGTCCTCCTTGTGGGCGGCCTAGGCCCAGGTCACGAGTTTGTGGTAGTTTTCAATAAGGTTGTTACCACCACCACACATCGCAGGCAGCTACCTTCTTTGCCACTGTTTACCTTTTGCAGCCACTGCGCCCATGGCGCCCCTGTATTTAAAATGCCTGTGATATGTGTTTATATAGGCTAATTGACTCCTAAAACACCTGCTTTGGAACATTTTTATAGGTTTAACCTATACACTTATAGTTTATATATTTAAATAGCTTTAAGTCATAATTTTTAAAGTGACATTACTTCCGTGCGGCGCAGGAGCCACTTCTGTGCGGGGCTGGCTGCTGTGCCGTGCTGTGCAGGAGACGCTGCCTTAAAAAAAAAAAGGAAGAAAAAATAAAAAGAAAGAAAACATTCAAAATTGTAGAGGCACATGGCAATCATTTATCTCACCACGCTCGACATGATTCATTCATCTTGATGTCATTGTGAAGCTCGGACATCACAATTCTGACTGCTTGATGCTGGCAGTTGAAGCTGTGTTGAATGCATTCAGTTGAGATATTGATGCTTATGCACATGCTTAATCTATTCAGACCAATAAATTTATTTATGAACTTGGTAGGCCTTGACTGCAGTGCAGGGCTTGTTGGTATGGTATCTTACATTTTTGTTTCAGCACACAAAAAAGTTGCATGAACAAATAGTATGGTTGATGGCTGATCACCCACTGGTCCAAGCACTGCCTCTACAACGGTATTCAGATTGGTGGTTGATTATCATTCTATATGAGAAGCACGACCTTGCAAGCATTCAGTAATGAGTAATTTGTAGAAGCATACTCACAAGAAGCCCCTTGCGGCATTTTGCCAACATGCCAGATATTCTCAGTTGTGACCTATTGCAGCCATAGTTTGGCACAGAGCCAACAAAGATTCCCTTTGATGCTTTCATATGACACTTAAGAGAGCCATAAAATGACTGCCGTAGGAAACAAGGATGTGGGGACAATTGAAGGCTTACCATTTTTTATGCTTATGGACCTTAACAGAATAAATTATTACTGTGATCAGTCAAACGAGTGTGCTCATTTACTTGCTGGTTTTGGGAACATTTGTAAATCATTTTAGGATGCTGACTTGGAGAAGTTGCTGAGCTGTGGATCATTTGGAAACCTGGAATGTTTGTCACTGGCCTTTACTCAAGTGACGAGTGCTTGTGCTGAGCACCTCATCAAGCTTCCTTCGTTACGCTATCTTAACTTGTGGTCTACACAGGTAAGGAAGCTGCGTGCACCTTTTTCCATGGCTAGTTGCTGATTCTAGCATGCCTATTTCAGTTTGGCGACTCCGGGTTGAAACTCATCTCAGAGCACCTCCCAAAGCTTCAAGTGCTCAACTTGTGTGAAACTCCAGTCACTGACAAAGGGCTGTCATCACTTGAATGTGAGAACTTTTTGTGCAAACTTACTTTTAGACCTCTTTTCTTCTTTTTTTTTTTACCGAAAATCATGTAGCATCGACCCCTTTGACTATTCTCACTTTCACAGAGGTAGCAGTGGCTGTTTAATCATTACAACCACTAATTTCGTTTCAATATTGCTCCTTTCTCACCAAGGCACCCATGTCACCTAGCTGCTTCTTTAACCCCCTGAGCTACCTAAGACAATTATTCATGTCTTGAGCACAGAGGCTAATATAGTAGACTCTTGGTAAATGGAAATCAAATCTGTTAAGTGGAATTGCTGCTAAAAAGGAACAACTGTCTCTGATATGATTGGTTTAGTACTTGTATTCTACACCCCTGTTCCTCTCTCGGTAAATGGAACTCCTGTTCAATGGAAGACATTTTCGTGGCCCGTTCAGGTTCCATTTAACGAGAGTCTACTGTAACTATATTGATATTAAAGATGCCGAATACGGCTTTTTTGTTATCCCATGATTTCACTGTGTATAAAAGCAAATAAAACATTCAAACCCCAAAATGGATGAAAAATATTTAGCTGCAGTGGAACCTCGATACAGTCAAATCTAATTCGAACGTGCTTAATTCGAACTTCCGGTTTATTCGAACTCACGATGAGGTACCGTCAAAGCTATGTGTATTCCAGAGGGCGATGAGGTCCCGTCAAAGCTATGTGTATTCCAGAGGGCGAAAACGCCCGGTAATTCGAACGTGCAAGCACTTGCGACGCTTAGTTTGAACATACTACGCTTCGAAAATGCTCTCAACACCCCGCCCGATCCCGTGGCGGCACCTTCAACACCTCAACGCTGCGCGCGAAGAAGAGAAGAAGGAAAGAAAAGGCTGCGGTAGAATGTTTTCTCTCTCTCAAATGCCGATCTGCTACGCACGCGCCTGATCCACTCTTCTCCCTTTTCCGCCCCTGCCACATAAAGACCCTTCTTCTTCTAGCACTGTGCACAAAGAGAGAGAGAAAAAAAAAAAGAAAGCTGTCGCGGAGTGTGGCTCTCTCTCATGCGCCGGTGCCACCCTTTGCCCTTTCCCATCCCTGCCACGTAACCCTTCTCCTTTAAACAACGCGCGCGAAAAAAAAAAGCTGCCGTGGAGTGTTGGTTCTCTCTCAAATGCCGATCTGCTTCTCTCCGCGAAGAGACGCTCCTTCTTTCTCGTCACGTGCTGGCCACGCTGCTGCGGCTTTGGCGCAGAGGGTAGTAGCGAAGATGCAGTCGTTGTCGTCGTCTTTAGAGAGTGTCGGCGCTGGACATTGTCGCTCGCAACTTCTTTTGCCTGCAGAATGCTGAAGCCGTGTAGACTTACTTTGCAAGCTGCCTGCAGAATTGATTGATTCGTTGCAAGGCAAACGTGTGGAGATGTGCATAATCGATTACTTCAATTAAAGACAGATGTCCTGTGATTTGTGAATAAATGTAAGTCTTCTGAAACTTCGCCCTCGTGTGTTAGCTCAAGGCACATGCGCCACTGCATGGGGAGCCCTTCGTTTACTTAGCTTTCATTAATTCAAACTTCCTTTATTTCGAACGAATTTTCGGGCCCCTTAGAGTTCGAATTATCGAGATTCGACTGTACAATGAAAGGTGTATGTGTCTGGTGAAGAGGCCAGTCAAGCTGTGAAGTGCAGCTGACATCAACCGGAGTGGAGCTCACAGCTTTTTGTGCCACATTGTAATTCATCAGTGATCAACAGCCATAAAAATGGACAAGGTGGCACTGCAATCCCTATTATCACCTTTAAGCCACGGCCCGTACGAACAACTGGTATTCGAAATTGCAGAAAAGACTCACCATTTCATTGAGAAAGGACATGAAATAGCCTTTTAGTGGCTTCCAAGTCATTGTGGAATAATTGGCAATGAACGGGCCGATCGAGCTGCCCGTTCTGCCCATACTGAAAGTGATCAAATATCAATTCCGCTCTCCAGAACTGATGCTGCACGAAAACTCCGCATGCTTGCTCGCAAGCACACCACGTTGCAATGGAACGAGTCACATTTTACTCATGCATTTAGCAATGCATACGCATTTCACATAGGAATCGCCGACACCGTTGCATGCGACCATTCCAGTAGTGACGAAACAACTGGGCACATTCTGTGTGAATGCCCACAATACTGCTCGCAGAGACAGTCACTCTGCAATGCACTAGACGAACTGGACAACCAGACCCTTTCGGAAGAAAGAATCCTGCGCTACCGACAGGACTTTATGTCGCAGAAGAAGGTTGTGAAGGTGCTCCTGCGCTTCTTGCATTCAACTAGCCTGTCCAAACGACTGTGATCGAAACGCCCTGCTTGTGTGTGCATGTGGATTTTTTTATATAATTTATTTTATATCTCTTTATCTCTATCCTCTTTCCCACCCTTATTTCCCTATCCCTGTACAGGGTAGCAAACCAGTTCTTCTAGGTTAACCTCCCTGTCTCTTCCTTTTATTTATTTCTCTCTTGATGTTCCAGCAGTGAAAAAGCACCATAGCTACTAAGTCAAATCCTGCTAAAACGACATTGAAGGGACACGCAAAAAAATTATTGTCGTGGAATTTCATTGTAGCAAAATTTCATCTATAAACCACAAAATTCTGTAAAATCTGATGGTTATGATCATTGTCGTTTAGTCCCAGCAAAATTGAATTCTCTCTAACTCAGGCCTATCTAGCCGCACACCGAGTGAACATGTTTTCTCGGGTATAACACGTTCAAGATAGACAGAAAGTTTAAAGCTAAACTCGTATATATTTGGTGAGCAAGTTGGCTTCACAGTACGCCTTTGCGGTAATGGAAGGAAGGTGCCCTTTCATCAAAATAGGAGACTTTCATTGAACGGAACCTGAAGGTACTGGGAAAATATGTTTCATTTAAAAGGAGTTTCATTTATTGAGAGATGACCAGGTGTGTAGAATACAAGAATAAAACCAATTTATAAGAAGCACTTGTTTTATTTAAGCAGCAGTTCTGTTTAACAGATTTTGGTTTACTGAGAGGATATTGTACGTGAATACTTTTGTTTTCTTTGTCATGCGCTTTGCAGTCGGGGTGCCAGTTATTTGCAGGGGCGGGTTATACACTAGAAAATACAATATTAAAGGGACAGTCTACCGTCCTTAACTGTTTTTCTGTTTTGTGTTGCAATCAACATTGTACCATCTGAAGTGTCCAACCTTGTAGTGGTTTCTCTGGAAAGTGTGTAAAAATTTTTAAAACAGAATTTTTTTTATCTGCGCTTGGTCTCTATCTATTTGTAGGATAAATGCCTACAACACTAGTCGGTGGAGGCGATGATTATTCTGCTGCCGGTGAAAGTGGAAAAACGAAACCATGTGCGCTTTTTGCAGGCTCCATCAAGTTTTGTTTGATAATAAAATAAATACCCTAGTGCTCGTTTAAAGCCGACAATTTTTGTTCTTCTTATGGGCCGCGGGAGACGCAGCGCTTGCGTTTCTCCACTGTTTCTAAGCAGGCGCGCAGGCAAGCAAGCACACCGCTGGCAGCGCTACCGGGCGCCTCTTTGAACAAGTAAGAGAAAAAGCAAAATTTACTCTCTGGCACAGCCCAAAGCTGTCTCAAGTGCGTAAAATACAATTCCAAGTTATAGATGTTTGTTTTCAAGCAAAATGAGTCCACCTGCGGGGATTTTCTGTCCTGCCAATAGATTGAACCACATTGCTGTTGGGTGCTGCTAGTGCTCATTCTTTGTCAACATTCAACATCTAATTAAAACTATGATTCCGTTTTATGAAAGAAAAGCATACTCGTTGCCACCGATCTGATGAACCATCTTCTCATTTTTCGCCACAATCAGAAAATTTTATTCGAGCGGTAGACAGTCCCTTTAAGTAACCTGGTATGGTTTTGTATTTGCATGTTTCTGAAATTTGTTTGGTGGGTATGTTTTGAAATAATGGGCATTGCTGTCTGTACCTCTTGTATTGTTTTCAGTGTTGCTTCTAAACACACCATAAAGGTGATTTTATCTGTACTAATTTGTTGATCCAATCTTTCATGCAGCAATGAAAAGCTTGCGAAAACTGAACTTGAACAGCACCAGTTTGTCTGCACAAACATTTGAGTGTCTGAAAGTAAGTGAAACTTCATTGATTTTTGTCTAGGTTCGTTGAGATGTCCCATGGAAACAGTGGTTCACACTTGTTTTTTTTTTTTTTTTATGTTACCAACACGTCCTTTAATGGGCCACCACATTCACACCTATCGCCTTTTTTTTTGCCACCAGACCTAAGGCTATCAGTGCTTTCACCTATTTCACTGACAGCTCATATGCTACAGCATTGTTCAAAATGTACTGTGTGCTTTTAGGATGCGCTAACCAAAGTACACTGTTATTCTCTGCTACTGTGAGTGCAGTGGTGGTACAGCTGCTCAACTTCCACCAAAGTGCTTCATTTTTACTTGATATATATGTATATATATATATATATATATATATATATATATATATACACACACACACACACACAAAATAAGGGAAAGAAGTGTATACTTAAGGGCTCGTTTTTCCGTGTTTTTGACACAATATTAATAAAACACGTAAAAACGAGCCCTTAAGTATACACTTCTTTTTTTTATTCATTAACGAGGCTCTCATACTGGCAGACTTGGTGACTTAGGTTGTACAGTCGAACCCCGCTACAACGAACGCGCCACTTCGAGATTTCCGCTACAACGAAAAATTCAGTTTCCTGTCAGCAGTCCATAGGAGTCAATGCATAAATATTGCCGCATGAATTCGCGTGGGTTTCGTGTGGAAGAGGACGAAGAGGTTGGGATTGAGCCGCTTTTTTTCTTCTGGCATTGCCGGATCCGCTCGCCTGAAAAGCTGCGTCATGTCCTCCACGTACATGGTGGGACATCCTGATATGGACTCGGAATATGCTGATGGTTTTCTCGGAGCCCTCAGTGATTCTGACTTTATGTCTAGACAGAGAGCCGATCAGGAATTGCGCCCTATTATTGATTCCTTAGAAGGCCGAAATTCTCACACTCCTCGGCGCATCGCTCGCGAATTGTCATCCTTTTGTCTAAGGAGGGGCATTCTTTACAAGAAAAATGCTCGAGGTAGCAACAAAGCCTTCCTCCTCGTTGTACCAGCCGACATGCGGGATGACATCCTCCTCGCGTGCCATGACGAGCCCACGTCGGGACACTTGGGCTACTCGCGGACTCTCGCCAGAGTGCGCCAGCAGTACTATTGGCCACGACTTTCGACCAGTGTACACCGCTACGTGCAAGGCTGCCGCGAGTGCCAGCGTCGCAAGACGCCACCCGTGAAACCTGCGGGCCTTCTCCACCCTATTACACCACCACGGACACCTTTCGACCTCGTGGGAATGGACCTTCTAGGACCCTTCCCTTTGTCGGCCACTGGTAACAAATGGATTATAGTGGCAACCGATTACTTGACCCGGTATGCTGAGACAAAGGCATTACCCCGCGGCACGGCGTCTGAAGTGGCGAAGTTCTTCGTGCAGCACATCGTCCTCCGGCACGGCGCGCCGTCATGTGTGATTACGGATAGAGGAACATCATTTACGGCACAAATGCTAGAGGACATTTTCAGACTGAGCTGCACGAGTCACCGAAAAACAACGGCTTACCACCCACAAAGTAATGGACTGACGGAAAGGCTCAACAAGACCATAGCGGACATGCTGTCAATGTATGTGGACGTGCAGCACAAAACCTGGGACGATATCCTCCCATACGTCACGTTCGCATACAATACGGCAATGCAGGAAACAACCCGATTTTCACCTTTCCACCTTGTTTATGGACGCAACGTACAAACGATGCTTGACGCTATGCTGCCGTACGATAATAGCGATGCTCTTTCTCCAGAAGCCGAGCAATACACGCAGTACGCCGAAGAGGCTCGTCAACTGGCTCGCGTGAACATCGGTCACCAACAAGACGCAGATGCACGACGTTACAACCTTCGCCGTCGAAACGTCGCATACCACCCGGGTGAACGAGTGTGGGTGTGGACTCCTGTCCGACGACCAGGCTTGTCTGAAAAGCTTCTGAGCCGTTATTTCGGACCATACAAGGTTATCCGACGTGTGAGTGACCTTACATACGAAGTACTTCCGGACGGCACAGTGTCGTCACGTCGACAACATCGGCCCGAAACTGTGCATGTCGTACGACTCAAGCCGTACTACACACAATAGTCTCTGTGCTTGCGAGTTACTTCGCAAACGTGACAGTGATCTCATGTGGTGTTTTTTTTTTTTTTTTTCTTGACTCTTCCACTGGTGCTGTTGTGTTCGCGCATGGTCCAAGTGCTTGTGCGCCCTCTTTGTTTTCCCTGGCACTCACTTTGTCATTCTCTGCGTCAACGCGTGTTCTAATTATGGGTTTTTTTTTTTTTTCCTTCTTTTTATTTAGAAGCATCGAGTCGATGCTTTTTAAAAGGGGGGGACTAATGCCGCATGAATTCGCGTGGGTTTCGTGTGGAAGAGGACGAAGAGGTTGGGATTGAGCCGCTTTTTAATGCCGCATGAATTCGCGTGGTTTTCGTGTGGAAGAGGACGAAGAGGTTGGGTTGGAGCAGTTTTTCTTTTTGTCCTAGCTTGACGAGCAGTTCTGTGGAAGGTTTCCTTGAGTGAGACCAGATTGGTGACAATATTGTCTCCACAATGAACACATTTTTCTGCCGTCCCGCTTCAACAAAATTTCACGATGCAATTGCAGGCTCAGATATTTATTGCTACATAAAAAACCCAACCTTTAACATTTTGATGCATTTTCAGAACCGGAAAATATGTCAACGAAGTCTAAAACACTCGTTGGCACCGCCAGAAGGCGCCGCTGTTTAGGAAGCATGGGCGCCTCCATTGCTCGATAGCAATGGCAATGAGACTGCCCTGCCAGGCCCTGCTTTTGCCACTGGCTTGCTTTCAAACCGCACACGATCCGAAGCTGAAGCTCAGTCGCTCAGTTCATGGTTTCCTTCACACAGCTGCCGCAGCTGCTGGGTGCTAACGCGGAGCGATGCCTTTCCCGATTCTAATGCTCATTATTTTATTCGCGCTTTTATCTTTTCACCCAGAAAATTGGGTGAAAGGTAACTTGCCGTGGGCAGGAACCGAACCTGCGACCTTCGAATAACGCGCTTGATGCTCTATCATTGAGCTACCACGGCGACTATTCTCCCAGCCACTTTATTGGGTATATATGTGAATTTAAGCGTGGGAGTGTCAATTAGTGCCATGGCGGCAAGTGTGGCACACTCTTTATGAGCCTGTTTGGCGTCACGTAGCACGTCACAAAGCACGTGAAAAACGAGCCCTCAAGTATACACTTCTTTCCTTATTTTATTAACGAGGGTCTCGTACTGGCAGACTTAGTGCCTTTAGGTGGTATACGAGGGACTATTGGTCAGCTGCCTGCTCGTAATAAGTTCACATGCTATGTGACGTCAAACAGGCTGAAAACAGTGTACCACACTCGCCGCCATGGCTACTGGTGACGCTGACTGACACTCCCACGTTTAAATTCATATATAAACCCAATAAAGTGGCTGGGGGGATAGCTGCTGTGGTAGCTCAGTGGTAGAGCATCAAACGCGTCATTCGAAGGTCGCAGGTTCGGATCTTGCCAATGGCAAGTTATCTTTTCACCCACTTTTCTTTCTTCATATTTACCTTACAATTCGGTCTAATATCTTCCCCTATACTTTCCTTTGGATTATTGTCTGTTAGATCTCATTAATTATGCGTAAAAACACGAAAAAGCGAGCCCTTAAGTACCGTATTTTCGTGCGTATAATCCGCACCAAAAACCCAAAAATTTCAGTGGCAAAGTGGAGGTACGGATAATACGCGGGGTTTTTCCTATAGTGCTGCTTCACAGCAATGCATGTTGTGCTGTGAAGCCGCTTAACAGTGTAGCGAAGGCTACGGAGGCAGTTTCCGCAAATTCGTGTTGCTCCGCAAGTAGCACAGCAGCTTGCGGCTGATTTTGGATTCGCTTGCTTGCATCGTTGAAGCGTTTAGAAAAACATTTGGGGAGAGACAATTCGATTGTTCAGTGTAAAATCTCACTCTCACACCACAAGTATATATTTTAGATGTTCGCGGCCGCTCAGTGACCCTCCACATGTCCCTACGTCGCGGACGCCATGTTTACTTTTGAAAAGGGCTTGCCGAAAAGGTGGTGCTGTCTAAGAAAGTTCCATAATAAATAAAGAAGTTTCATAATAAATAAAGCAGTATTTATTTCAGCAAGGCAAATGAGATGTTATAGTGCCTATAGAGATATTATCAGTAAATTAATGTACTACTTTTTGATGCGGTAGCAGGCATGCATTTCGGTTCTGTTGTTTCCAGGGTACTGTTACAGTGTACTAGAAGGGGTAGTGCTGTCAAGTTGTCACCGAGTGTGAGCGCTCTTTACCTCGCTGATACCGCTAGTTCTCTACATCTCCACCCGTTCGCCAAGCCTAAGTCGATCTGTTCTCTCACCATGAGTAGCGTACGGCGGCAGGCCTTCACGGCACAGCAAAAGCTTAAGATCATCGCCATCGCCGAGGAATTTGGAAATCGCGAAGCGGGAAGACGGCACGATGTGGACGAGTCCTGCGTGCGACTATGGAGAAAGAAGAAAGAGAGCCTACAAGCCGCGCACCGCGACCGTAGGTCATTTCGTGGCCCCAAGACCGGTGCCTACCCTGAGCTGGAGGCGGAGCTAGTAATGTTCATCGAAGATGTGAGAAGCAGGGGTCACGCCGTATCGACCGAGATGGCCCAAGTGGAAGCGCGGTGACTTTCGAGGGAGCTAGGCCTACCTCACGAGTTCCATGCGAGCCACGGATGGCTGCACCGCTTTATGAAGCGGCAAGGGCTCTCAATCAAACGGCGGACTACAACATGCCAACGCTTGCCGGCTTTTATGAGTATAAGCTGCTCAAGTACCAGAGATATGTAATTGGCCTGCGAAAGCAGCACAATTACATTTTCTCGCAAATCGGCAACGCGGATGAAACTCCTGTTTATTTTGAAATGCCGTTGCACACGACGATTGAGAAGACGGGCAGCAGTTTGGTGAGCGTGCTGACCGGCGGGAACACGAAACTGCGCATCACAGTCTTGTTTTGTGCCCTCGCCGACGGCACGCAACTGCGACCGTACGTCATCTTGAAAAGGAAAACTCTACCAAAGGTTCATTTGCCTGCCAATGTGGTGGTGCGCGCACACGAGAATGCGTGGATGAACAGTGACTTGTTCGTAGACTGGATCAAGACGGTATGGGAGAAAAGGCCCGGTGCGATGCTCGCAAAGAGGTCCATGCTCGTTCTTGACTCGTTCCGCGGCCACACAACTGAGGAAGTGAAGGACCGCCTTTCACGCAACGGCACCGACTTAGTTGTTATACTCGGTGGAATGACGTCAATGTTGCAGCCTCTAGATGTGTCGCTTAACAAGCCCTTCAAAGCGCATGTCAAGCGCTATTACACTGAGTAGATGGCCGAAGGCTGCCACGACTTGACGCCGACAGGACGAGTCCGAAGGCCTGATATTGCCCTATTCTGCAAGTGGATTGTCGAGGCATGGAAGGCCATTCCAGGTGAGATGGTGCGAAAAAGTTTCAAGAAATGCTGCATCACAAACAACATGGATGGAACCGAAGATGACCACGTGCATAATAGTGAGGACTGCGGCTCAAGTGATAGCTCTAGCGAGAGCAGCGACAATGAGTGAATTGTGACTGGCTTTGCAGACAGCGTATTCCGCTTGCTAAATAAAGCTTTTTCTGTCTACATATGTGCTATGTTGCTTCAGCAGTAGCTTTTGTACAGCCTTTCCTGTATATCAAATGTGCGGGCAATACGCGAGGATTTTTTTTTCTTTCTCGGTGAGCTGAAAGTGGGGTTGCGGATTATATGCAGGGGCGGGTTATACGCGCAAAAATACGGTATACACATCTTTCCTTAATTTATTAACGAGGGTCTCGTTCTGGCAGACTTAGTGCCCTTAGTTGTATACGAGGGACTATTAGTCAGCTGGCTGCTCATAATAAGTTCACGTGCTACGTGACGCCAAACAGGCTCAAAAGAGTGTTCCACACTCGCCGCCATGGCTACTGGTGGCGCTGACTGACACTCCCACGTTTAAATTCACATATAAACCCAATAAAGTGGCTGGGGGGATAACTGCTGTGGTAGCTCAGTAGTAGAGCATCGAACGCGTCATTCGAAGGTCGCAGGTTCGGATCCTGCCCATGGCAAGTTATCTTTTCACCTACTTTTCTTTCTTCATATTTACCTTACGATTCGGTCTAATATCTTCCCCTATACTTTCCTTGGCATTATTGTCTGTTAGATCTCATTAAGTCTATGTAAAAACACGACAAATCGAGCCCTTAAGTATACACTTCTTTCCTTAATTTATTAACGAGGGTCTCGTACTGGCAGACTTAGTGCCTTTAGGTTTTATACGAGGGACTATTGGTCAGCTGCCTGCTCGTAATAATATCACTTGCTACGTGACGCCAAAAAGGCTCAAAAGAGTGTACCACACTCGCCGCCATGGCTACTGGTGGCGCTGACTGACACTCCCACGTTGAAATTCACATATAAACCCAATAAAGTGGCTGGGGGGATAGCTGCTGTGGTAGCTCAGTGGTAGAGCATCGAATGCGTCATTCGAAGGTCGCAGGTTCGGATCCTGCCCATGGCAAGTTATCTTTTCACCCACTTTTCTTTCTTTATATTTACCTTACGATTCGGTCTAATATCTTCCTCTGTACTTTCCTTGGCATTATTGTCTGTTAGATCTCATTAATTCTATGTAAAAACACGACAAATCGAGCCCTTAAGTATACACTTCTTTCCTTAATTTATTAACGAGGGTCTCGTACTGGCAGACTTAGTGCCTTTAGGTTTTATACGAAGGACTATTGGTCAGCTGCCTGCTCGTAATAAGATCACTTGCTACGTGACGCCAAACAGGCTCAAAAGAGTGCACCACACTCGCCGCCATGGCTACTGGTGGCGCTGACTGACACTCCCACGTTGAAATTCACATATAAACCCAATAAAGTGGCTGGGGGGATAGCTGCTGTGGTAGCTCAGTGGTAGAACATCGAACGCATCATTCGCAGGTCACAGGTTCGCATCCTGCGCATGGCAAGTTATCTTTTCACCCACTTTTCTTTCTTCATATTTACTTTACAATTGTGTCTAATATCTTCCCCTATACTTTCCTTGGCATTATTGTGTGTTAAATCTCATTATTTATGTATATATCATACGTATATGTATATTTACTGTACTTTTTTTGTGCATGTCTTAAAAATAGAGCTTTTAAAAAATGCTCATGGAGTAAGATTCATCATTTTACCTGCTGTACAAATTTCAATTAACATCAGCTCACTAAGTTAACAAATACACAGGCAAGACTGTTCAGATTATACTCAATGCAATGACTACAAGTCCTCGCTGTTACCAGTGTGTCCGAACGAAGTGTTTGTCATTTTACTTTTGTTCTACTGCTAGATGTTTCGCTTTTTGAGCATGGTCAGAAAATGCTGCCGATCGGTAATCAAGGCTCACAAGAATACGTGAGCCAAATGGTATAGTGCAGCATGCAGTCTGGAATTCACAATAAATTATCAATGCCAGCTGAAAATTGCTTTCTCATCTCTCGAGTCTCCGCAAAGGACGATACAAGCTCAAAAATCCTTTGTCACAGCCATTCTGTCATTCATTGGCTGATGTGAGCATAATGCGCTCGATTGTTACTGGGGCCGCTGCAGGAGGCCACAACTTGTCCACAAGAGCACATTTTGAAGAAAAAAAAAAAAAGCTCAAGGTTACGAGGTGCGTGTGACGTATTTTCTTTTGCTGTGCCATCACTCCCTGCTTAGCTTTCAGCGATTTCATCGAGACAAGAGAAGTGAGATTGCTATTGCAGCGTGCAACAAATCTTTGTAACCCCACTTGTTCTGGACAAGTTCTAAAAAGTTTTAAAACGCTTATTATTAGCTTTTATTAGCTACACTATAAGCTTCTTTGGTGAATCCATTCCACTGCTACTCGAAAAAGCGTTGCAGGGCCCCTTTAAGAGGTGCACTACTAACTGTACCACAAATTCCTACAAACTCGCACCAACTAGCACCCTTCCAAGTTATAGTTGACTTTGTCGAAAAGAAATTGCAAATTTTTGAGCGGTGTCAATGCCTTGTGTCAAGGGGTGAGCATGATCTCAGGAGCAGCCCGCCATAGAGCGTACCTCTCATATACGAGATCTCTGTTCATATAAGACAAACTGCCATGCCGAGAATGCATGCCCTCTCCACGCATCTGTCACAGGCTCATGGAAGTCCACTTGAGCTAATACAAAGATTTTTGGTTGCCACTGTTCTCGTTTATCACACAATATGCGCAGATCTTTACTTTGGAATTCCTGCCTGAGATATGCACTACTTTGGAATTCCTGCCGGAGATACGTGCTAATGCAGTACTCTCAGATGTGGATTATTTATCATGTTGCATTACTTCATTTGTATTGAAGTGCCAAGTTTCCGCTTGAAAAAAAAAAACAATTAAAAAAGAAAATTGGTTTCACTTCAGAACAAAATAATTTATAATGTTTCAGTTGCATTTTTTTTCCTTCTGTTTTAATACACTGGCTTTCACAATGCATAAATTAAAAGTGTGACTGATTGCCAACTTTCACCTTTGCAAACGAGAACAGTAGAATTGTTTTTTCTTCAGATATAAGACTTTTGTGTAAGCAGCTACTGCAAATGGGAATATTTCTATAGATAACTGTAATGACTTCATATTCAAGTGTTGAGATCTTTTAGCCATCCAAATGCATGGTGCCATGACGGGACTTGAATGTGTCAGCGCCACCTGTTGCCATGGCAGCGAGTGAAACACTCTTCTTGCCTGTTTGGCGTCACGTAGTACGTGATCTTATTACAAGATGGCAGCTCAGTTCAGTTCAGTTTATTACCTTAAAGGCCCCCCTTTCTAGGAGGGGCATTACATAAGGGGTGGGGTTTTATTTAGGTTGACAATAAGCAGTAAGAGTTGTTTTAGCATTGAAGATGATCGATAATACGGTCTTGAAAGGTAGATGATGAGGCGATGTTGGCGACCAATAATCCCTTGCATATCATCTCAAGGTATAAATTCTGCCAGAATGAGACCCTCGCTATGAATGTACATGTATAATCTATAAAGTAGATCGAGGGGATAACCGCCATCATAGCTCAGTGGTAGAGCATCGAATGCGTCATTCGAAGGTCGCAGGTTTGGATCCCGCGGGTGGCAAGTTATCTTTTGATACACTTTGTTTCTTCTCATTTAAATTACAATTACTTTTAATTACATCCCCTTTACTTGCCCAGGCATAATTGTCTGTTTGTTCTCATTAATATTGTAAGTTTCTTGTGCATCGTTTTTTTCCTCCAAAGTTTATCAACAAGGTCCTTCTTTTCTGCTACTGAAAAGCAGAGTTAACAGGAAAAGAAGTTTTCACTATATACATGGTTATTCACTGTGTAGTAGTAATGGTAAATAATTCCTACTGTGCATATCTTTGTGTGTGTGTGTGTGTGTGTCTGTGTGTGTGCACTGCCCTTTTTTTGCACTCGCCCTTTGAAAGATGAAATGGCATCACCCATATTTCGTTTGCACGAGATATAAGTACTACCCATTTTTTCGTGTTTCAGGAGAAGCTGCCAGCACTACAGGAGTGTGATGTGCGGTACACAGATGCATGGTGATCAGTGCCATAAACACCTTCAAACCATGTTTGTTGAGGAGGGAGCCTAAGTTGTCTTCTGCCACCGTCCTGCTGGAATCCTGTATTTGGTGTCTTCTGTGGTCATCGAACTTGTTCCTATACCTGGTATTTTAGATATAACTTGCCCATTTCCTTACCCATGTTCTCTAAGGCTAGAAACTTGTATTGTGATGAGCCTGCTATCTAACATTCCTTTGATCTTCTGCAATTGGTATAGACCTTTCACTGTTAGTATTCTGAGGTTGTAATGATTATTCCTTGCTTGTCACATTTCCAGGGTTCTTGTAATGAGTGTCTTTTTAAATAAAACTTTATTTATAGGTATTCAAAAGTATTGTGGTAGTGTTATTTATTAATTTATTTTGCCAATTAGGGTTTATGAAAGATATTGCAGCCATGCATTTAACTTTTTTATTTCATTCTGCATGTACACATGGTGTGCTGTTATTGATAATGGCATTCTTGTCTTGCCTCGCCATGGTACTTGTGTATTTGTTTCCACCTGTAAGCTGTTTTCTGTTTTGCCATGGAGATCCCATTATTATAACTGTGATCGAACGCCAGTTGCAGCGTAGCCTGCAGCTCATTCAAGGTGATTATTGACCTGTGCTTTTTGTGCAGGATTCAGATGGCTTGTCTGCCTTAAATTTTAGGCATGCCAATAAAAAGACAAGAGGCTGCTTTCAAGTACCGGAAAGCTGACTCTAAGCTCGGACAAATCGCTGGAGTACTTTTTTTTAAACATTGGTTTACATAAACCTTTCAGAGAAGGGCATTAATGCATTACTTTGTCATCATTGTTTCTTATGATCCAACAATTTGCCAAAACATGCCTAACTGCTTTGTATTATATTGGCAGTGAAACTTGTATCTGAGATGTCATGTAACATATTCAATGTATATTGTTTGTAGATGTGTATGTATCAAATATGTTCAGGGATAGTATACTTTCTGTATGCATGTGTATATATATGCATTGTGTGCCATGTGCAGCTGAAACAGGTTCAATCTGTGGGCCATCAAGGGCTTGGAAGTATCATTTTACTTTTGACCGCTCAGAGTGCTGTGCTGTGTTGTATTGGTGATCGTGTCTTGCCAGAATATATTAGAGTACTACTGTATTAATTTATCAATAATACTATATCATGTAGATGCACTAGTAGCCTGTAAATGTAATTCTTGTATGCTAAGCTGCCCGTAGAACAAGGTGTAATTAGTGAGAAGTTGCGATTGATGTAGTTTTGCCTGCATATTATAATGCATCATTTTTGAGTAATGAGGTGCTGCATGTCTAGATATAACACCAAGAGACCCCAAACGAATTCTTGCAGCCTACGCTGCTGTGTTCTAAGTCTTTGCCTGCTGTGGGGACTCAGCATGGTGCTTGGCTTCATTCTGGGCTATATGCCAGGCCTATGCTCTCAGTCATAACGAGCTTCTCTTTTCTGGACCCTTTTGAGTCTCCTTTTTCACCCTCCTCCCACCCTGGTTAAGGTTGTGTCCTTACTCTCTGAGCTTGCATGGGACAACAGTGGTCAAATGAAACACAGGTGCCAGCCTGTGTCGTTCGAACAGTACAAAGTAGAGCGCATATATATATATATATATATATATATATATATATATATATATATATATATATATATATTCTGTAAAAAGCTGCTGCAAGGGGGCCCATATTCTGTGAACACTGATGTATATGTATGCAGGAAGGCGTTCCTTTGGACAAATTAAAAACACAGCAGACTCTCTTTAAGATGAACCTGAGTGGGGCCTTGAAAATTTGCTTGTTCTATCAGAAGGCTAGCTTCACAGATTCATTTGTAGGAAATAAAGTAGGGGTTCCCTAGCTGTCTATTTTATATCAAAACTTGGCTAAGCAGAGTTCATCTTAAAAAGAGCCTGTTGTAATTTGTCTTATAGTGGCACTTGATTTTTGGAGCACCTCAAACAGTGTAAGGTACAAAAGTTTTCTGGTCTTATAGGGTCGTGAGTGCGACGAAAAAAAAAAAAACGGTAAAAGGTGTCTCGTTTTATTTGGATGTCAATCTTTTCTTTTCCCTGCTCTCTTGCTAATGGAAAATTCTAGTAGAGCTGTGAAAAGATGTGGAGGAGTGAAGTGCTGCTCTGGTGAGCTGGCGAACTAGGGCTCATTTAGTGCCACAGAAAGTTGCCTGCCTGGCTCACTAAAATGTGAGCTTTGAAAATGAAAACAAGGAATGAGCAGCACACAGCTTTGACTTTCTGCTGCAGTTGTGTCAAAAAAAAAAAAATCTGCCTTAGCAAGCAACGTACAAACCATCTGTGTGCTTTCAGACTAGGTTTCACAAAACATTTACACTCTTTCTTGTAAACCTGCTTACTTTTTCTTGGCCTCTGCAGTGTAGTATTTCCTCATGTAGCATAAATTTTTGTGTAGCCTTTTTTTTTATGCTGCCTTTCTGACCTTCTGGTATCAAGTTCAACACTTATCACCTGAACAGCACAAATCATGGGGGAAACCTGAACTCTTGAGTGCTAGCTCACTTGACACAAAAATATGTACAAATTACTGCTTTCACTGATAAAGTTTATGAATTCAAAGTGTTGTCCATCTTGCAGGCTTAGCTTTTGATGTACAAATGTCTTCGCAGTGTTCTGTATGTTAGTTTAGTGCTTGGTGGGTTTGCTGCAATATGTAGTGTGGCATTCACGTTGCTTGTGTTAAACTTTCTGCCCAGGCAAAAATATAGATTTTTGAAAACTTCAAGTTGTTTACTCTGATTATGCTTGCAAGGCATAAAATTTCAATTAATTATGATGGAGATCAAACTTGTTTTGCTGCTTTATGGTTTTTGTGACTTGTGTATATGCTGACAAGTTCAATTGGCTTCAATGATTCTTGACTAGCTCATGAACACGAACAAGAGGTGTGGTCCTTCATATGAATGCTTTGATCCATAAAAATATATTTTTGTGGTTTGTATATCATGATGAAAAATCACTATGTGTGGTGACTGTCTTCTTCCTTTCATTGCATAGCTTGATACTGCTCACGTGTGGGTGTCTCATCACTTGCTTTTTACCATGCTTATATGCCAATACACATCACACAAACCTTATAAGGGCAGCGTGAAATCACAGCATGCATGCTTGGTTCTCTTGTGCTTGGATTCGAAAGGTCTCACGTTAAAAATGTGCGGGTGTTCAGAGAACATTGAGCATGCATAATACAATTCTGCATACTTTATTGGGTGGAGTAGTTCATCCACTGATGATGTTACCGGTGTAAAGAATGCGATGTGGAAGTGTAATATAAGGGAAAATGGCAAGCATTTGCTAAATTACATAACACATTCGTTGCTGCCCTCATCTGGTGCATGGGGCGTGTCATGCACAATAATGCGCAAGCGTGGCAATGCTTAAAACAAGTTTGTTGTGTACTTGCATTTAGACAATATACATACAGGTAACTTTGTTTGTGTGATGTATTGTGGATATTTATAACTTTGAAAGAGAGCAAGTCTGACATACTCTGGACACTCATGTGCACCACTTGCCGGGAGTAACTGCTAAAATTAAATTTGGGAGCATTGCATTTGACACTGTTCATAATACCCCCTCTTATTCATTGAAATCCTTTTGTCTATGATCTCTACCTTGAATATCTTGTTCATGTATGTGCTTAATGTCTGTTGCTTCAGTTTCTATTGCTGTATTAAATATAGATTATGTTTATGAATCGTGTGCTTTTTCTATCACGAGTTTTGCAGTAGCTGAGCTCCTGGCCTCATGTGCTGAGCTTGCATTCATGCAACCTCCTTGAACCTAGTGCATGCAAATTACTACGTTGCACATGCCATGCTGGTATTTTTTGCATAGATTTAATTGGTCCAAATACAATAGAGGAGTTAAGCTGTATAATGTGAATGTTTCTTAGTGGGTTTCATAGGATGGTCCCAATATACCAGAACTAATTTTTAGACTTTCACTATGACAGCTAGCCATAAATGCTGTTGTTTTAGACATTTACGATTTTTAACATATATATCTCTGGTATTTTAAGTATACTATTAAATGCCTATCTCCAGTCAGCTTACGTGACAATTTTTTTTCTCCGGGGTTCATTCTTACTTTGTCAATCTAATTCACTTGTAACAATTTTGATGTAGTTTGATTATATTTCTAATGACTTGGAGGTAAAAATATTCATTTTAGAGCTACAAAGTATGGCTGGTGTCCTTTATTATTAAAATTGATAGGTATGGACAATTGCAGTCAGCATACCAATAAAATCTTGGAAGGCAAAGCTTGAAACTCAGTACAGTAATATGGTTGCAGCATTTGCAATGATGCTCATTTTGTGCATATCTCCTTGCTACTGATAAAATAGATGCAAGGGTCTTCTAGTCTGATGATTTTGGGACCTTAGGCTGTTGTGGGACTTTCGGCATTATAAAATGACCCAACACGAAGACTCCTTACCTAAATGTATGGTATTCTGGATGCTGTGGCAAAAATCTAGGCACGAAAGCCTGTGAAACTTGCCAAGTGTCGCACACTATTGTCTAGCTGGAGCCCAGCTTATGAGCGGATGCGTTGTGGTAGTGTAAACCATACAACTGATATTGTAAGAATATCCTGCAGTGTGTCTAGAAACGTACCACGTAGAGTAGCAGCCACATGCTATTACTGTACCTACATGGGTCCAACTGTTGTTGATACTTTACTAGTTTAACAATGCACTGTCATTTTATTGAGGTGGCCCTTGAAGTTTACATTTGTTCCAGCCATCAGGGCACAAGGCTCTAGATCCTGTGGCATATTTTAAATGTGAATTTGTATTCCAACATGAACTGTCATTGTTTCTGATTGCAGTATGCGCCATGTTAGAACATGTTGAAAACAAAAAAATGTCCACACTACATGTGCTCCGTCGGCTCTTGATAGATGACGCATACTACAACAGTGGAAAATACTTGGGCCTGTTGCAACATTAATTCATATCTTAATAAGTTTTCAATCACAAGAACTTGCCAAGTTTCATTTGTTTGCAACTTCACCATATCCACTCTATAAAATTTCTCTATTAGAGTATCGCATGTCAGAACAAACTTTCCCACACTTCTGTCTTGCCTGTCCAAAAACTTGTCTGTGTTTTACTTGGCTGGCATAAAACCAAATGTGACGTGAAGAGAAGACAGGCTATACAAATGGTGTACTTCGAGAGACATGCCTAAAATCTGGCTACACTTATCGGGAACCATACCTAGATGTTTTATTACCATGCATGCATTTCACTTGTTCTCCAATATAAAAAATTTATTTACTTGTCATACCAGCAAAAACTGAATGAATGCAATATCTCCCTTTCTATTCTAAATAGGCAATATTTTTTATTCTAAGTGGCAATCTACCAGTCACGATTTGGAAGTGCTTGCCAAATATGCTCCACCCCATTCTTATTCTTCTTGTTACTTCAATCTCGTGGTTCGGCTCCTTGGCTATTACCTGTCCTAAGTAGACATATTCCTTTACAACTTCCAGTGTCTCTTCACGTATTACGAAGTGCTGTTTCTGCTGAGATTGTTGCACATTGCTTTAGTTTTATGCATATTAATCTTCAGACCTACTTTCCTGCTTTCCGTGTCCCATTCAGTAATCATGAACTGTAATTCGTCCCCTGAGGTACTCATCAAGGTAATGTCATCAGCGAATCGCAAGTTACTAAGATATCTCCATTAACTCTTATCCGTAGCTCTTCCCAATCTGTAGGGCCCTAAAATCCTCCTGTAAACACGCGGTGAATAGCATTGGAGAGATCATGGCTCTCTGCCTTACACCCTTCTTTATTGAGATTCTGTCGCTTTCTTTGTGGAGAAATATGACGGCTGTAGATCCTCTGTAGATTTTTTCCAGTATGTTTATGTAGGGTTCTTTCATGTCCTGATTCCATAGTGCCTGCATTACGGCTGATGTCTTGACTGAGTCAAATGCCTGCTCATAATCTATGAAAGATATGTATAGGGGTTGGTTGTATTCACCACATTTCTCTATTACCTGATTGATAGTAGGAATATGGTCTATTGTGGAGTAGCCGGTACGAAATCCTGCTTGGTTTTTGGCTGATTGAACTCTAATATGGTCTTAATTCTATTAGCTAATATTTTTTTTAAATAGTTTGTAGAGAACGGAGAGTAAGCTGATCGGCCTGTAATTTTTCAGGTCCTTGACGTCTCCTTATGGATTAAGATGATGTTGGCGTTCTTCCAAGATTCTGGTACCCTTCCCGTCAAGAGACACTTGGTATATAAGGTTGCTAATTTTTCTAACACAATTTCTCCGCCATCTTTCAGGAGGCCCGTTGTTACTTTATCCTCACCAGCGGCTTTACCTCTTTGCATTCCTTCTAGGGCTTTCTTTACTTCCCTGTCGTTACTGGTAGGATGTCGAATTCTCCTGGACTATTATAGTTTCTCACAATATCATCCTGGTTCTTTTGACTTCTGTACAGCTCTCTGTCGAACTCCTCCACCATTTCGGTTATCCTATCCATATTGGTTATGACATTGCCTTCCTTGTTTTTCAGTGCATATATTTTATTTTTGCCTATGTACAAGTATGCCTTCGCAGCTTTTAGGCTTCTGCCACGTTTTACAGCTTGCTCAATTCTTTACACGCTATACCTTCTGATGTCAACTGCCTTATGCATATTGATTAACTTCGAAAGCTCCACTAGTTCTATTTTGTCGGTTGCATTTGAGGCTTTCATCGTTTGTTGTCTCTTAATAAGATTTTTCGTCTCCTGAGATGGTTTGCCAGTTTCCCGTCTAGTGACTGAACCTTCAACTTCAATTGCACACTCTTTGATGATACTAGTAAGATTATCGTTCATTGTATTGATGCTAACGTTGGTTATCTCATTTAGTGCCTTGAATTGATTTTGAAGCATAACTCTGAATTCCAGTATTTTTCCTCTCACCGCCAGTTCATTAATTGGCTTCTTGCGTATAAGTTGTCGTCTTTGCTTTTTAATCTAGGTGAAAATGAGCTCTTATCATTCTATGGTCACTGCATCTAATCTTGCCAACTACTCCTACATCCTTTACGATGTCTGGGTGTGCACACAGAATGAAGTCAATTTCATTTTTAGTTTTGTCATTAGGACTCATCACGTCCACTTACGGTTAGCACGTTTTCAGAAGAAGGTATTCATAATCTGTAAATTATTACGTTCTGCAAACTATACTAACAACTCCTCTCTTGTATTTCTAGAGACGATGCCATATTTCCCCACTGCATGGTCTCCGGCCTGTTTCTTGCTTAATTTGACATTAAATTCCCCCATAAGAATAGTATACTGTGTCTTTACTTTATTGTTGGCTGACTCTATGTCTTCATAAAAGCGTTCAATCAAATGACCATCATGACTTGATGTAGGTGCATAGGCCTGTACCACCTTCATCTTGTATCTTTTGTTAAACTTAATTATGATACTTGCCACCCTCTCACTGATGTTATAGTATTCCTCTATGTTGCCAGCGATATTCTTGTGTATGAGAAACCCCACTCCTAGTTACTTTCTGTCAACTAATCCACAGTAGCATAGGACGTGTCCATTCCTCAGCACTGTATAAGCCTCACGTGTTCTCCTAACTTCACCGAACCCTATTGTATCCCATTTAACACCCTCTAATTCCTCAAATAGCACAGCTAGACTAGCCTCACTAGATAGCGTTCTAGTGTTGAAGGTAGCCAAGTTCAGATTCCAATAGCTGCCAGTCCGTACGCAGGGATTCTTGGCACCCTCCGCTGCGTCACAGGTCTGACCGCCGCCTTGGACAGTTGCTTCGCAGCTGCTGGGGACTGAGGGCCAAGGGTTAATTGCTGTGTTCATGGGAGGTTGTGGCCAGGTACTGCACCAGGGTGGCCTATTCTGCTCTGGTGAGGGAGTGCATTACCAACAGATGGTCGCCCATGAGGCCGCAACCCAGACCTTTTTTCTTCTTCTTTTTTAACCATTCCTTTCTCACGCCTTTTAAGTAGATATATAAATGGGAATGGTTCGACAACTCTATTCGTACCGAATTTTGTCATGGCATGCTTGGCTGCTGCGCTATCTCTAAGTAGATGGTCTGTTTCACTTTATTAGCAATGTAGAAAACCACCTGACTATATATGTAAGCTCCCAACTTCACCTGGCTCGTAGCTCGCCTCACCTTTTTTTTCCTAATTGTTTGAAAATCTAATTTTCCTATTAAAAAAAAGCACCCTGTGTGTTATCGAACTTCTGACCTTGCGAGCTTATGCCAGATTAGTGTCTTGAATGAATCTCATCACGCGTTTGTTTTCTCCTAACTTCTTCCTTTCCTTCTCAATAATGACATTGTTAGTGTCAAAGTGTCCGCAATGTGTCTGCAAACTACGCAAACTGACAAGTTGCACGCACCTGTTTTCCGACTAATCAGATACTTCCATGTGATTCTTACGTTGAGCGTATACGTCGTGGGCAGTTGGAGTGCATGAAAATTAAACGCGAAAAGTTTCTAGCCGCTAAAGAATAGACAAGCACTGCCTTTAAGCCTGTACTCTATTTTTCTGGCATTTTGGGGCAGTAAATAATAAAAAAAAACACTCTGGTAGATAGACAGAATAAGACAGTAACCCTCAGACAGGAGTCAGCTATACATATGAGTAATTACATCAACAGTTAGCCTAATAACGTAAAATAAAGGAGGGAAG